ATGTACATGAGCATTCAGGCAGAAATTTTCTTATTAAGAACTGTCGACTCTATGGTGCGCAATGTCGGCCCTTTTGGATTGGCAAGCACATTTCTAAAGACAAGAGCTTATTGCTTTTGCTCATCAGCAGTGGGGAGAGGCAATAAAAATGGTCACCAATTTGTGTTGGGTGTAAAAAAACCAAGCAGACCTCAGGCAGAAGGAGTGAGCTTTTGTGTCTGGGTTCTTAACCCTATAGCACATAGGTACGGTAAAACAGACACATTATTCATCACTGAAAAAGGCAACAATAAACTGCAAAACTCATAAAATCCTGCGAACTCAACGGCTGCTGCATAACCCAAACTTATGAGTCTGAACACAACAAGAACAAAATCAAAGGTTTTGTGCAGCTTTTCAGAGAAAAATATTCCAAAACTACAGGTTATGAATATTTACTAAAGAGGATGAAGTTATGTGCACAAAACCAAGGCAATCTGAACCTGAGAGGATGTGAAAAGACAGCAGCTGAAAAACATGTGCAACAAAGCTGTGAACAACCGAGCAGATAGATGGAACACTTTAATCTGATTCATACAGCCAGATTAGATAAATGCTTATAACTATACAGTCTAGAAAATGTGTAACATGTAAGACACAGTGAGTGAGATTAATTATTTGGTTTAGACACAGAAAAAACTGATTATCATTTGTGATTGAAGGTCCAAACAGCGACACAAAAGCTAAGGAAAACACACAAGTACTGCCAACATAGGTTTCCTATCATCTGATCAGAGTGGTTGTGGGTGTCTTCTCATTCTGATGAACCCACCTGATAGCTGTGTTTGTATCTTTAAATCTACAGTATTGAGGTCAAGAGCCAATCACTGAGTGCTGTCTGAATGATTAGTGAAAATGTCTTTACCCTATTTAGTGCACTCATTGGTTCTCACAATACATAGCGACATGTCTAACGATAGTCAGTAACCGTGCAATACCATCATGCATTGCACTTGCGGTGGAGGAGAGAGAAAGCAGGAACAGCCCGACCTGTCACAGGAATATAAAGCAGCACATCAAAGGACAAACTGTAGCAAACAAGCATTCATACAAAGTGAAAAATAGTTGCGGTATAACCCTGAGACAATTACGGAAAATGCACTGTCCGAAAGCTCTTTATCTTTTGCAGATGAAATCACTCTATAGTACTCTGCATAATCTGCAAAGTCTATATAGTGAAGTAGTAGAGAAACCCAACAGTTCTCACAATGAGGAAGCACTTTGGCAACTGTGGAGACAAAGAGAAAAAACTCTGTCATTAACTGGAAGAAACTTCTAGAACCAGAATCAATGTAGGCGGCCGTCTGCCTCAACCGGCTGGGGTGAGCAGTAAAAAATCAGGTGGAGAGGAGAGATGGGTGAAAAAGAGGGGAGAGAGAGACAGAGGAGAGAGGGTTAGAGAATGAGTGGGTGATTTCAGACTTTTTTTTCCAGATTCTATAGCTTTTTTTTTTTTTTATTGTTATATATTTTTCTAGATAGATTGACTGATATAGATAAATAAACAGTTCCAGATTTTTATTTAGGGACGTTTTTCGTTTTTAAATTCAGGGGAAGAAATTTTTGTAACACAGAAGAACCAAAAAGGTTGTTATATCCCAACCAACGAAGAAAGGGTTAAAAACATTTTGACTTTTCATGGCAGGAAAACACGGGTGTTTGTAAAAACTCTTCCAGTTTGGCTTGACGGTCTGACACTGAGACCAGCATGAACAAAAACATGGAAATCAGCCACCAGTTTTGCTGTTTGCAAACTACAGCTGCCAAATGCTCCATTATGTTCACCAGCTAGTAATTAACTTTGTTTCTCTGTTGCATGATGCTGCACTGGTACCAAACAGTATTTGTCAGAGCTCCTCACTCATAAGGTTGAGAGTAGTAACACTGAAGCTGTGGATTGTAAAAACCAAAGCAAAGAGCTGACAGAAAACGCTCTATGGGACTCATGAGGACCTTCAGCTGTAGAGGCAGATAATGTATTATTACTCTGTACTGGAGATCCAGATAGGGTCAGTTACACAAGGCTTAGAGAGTTGGCCAAGGACCGACTTGGGAAATGGGAGATTCGAATGAGAATATTGTGTTTGCATGGAGCCGAACCATCTGGGGCGCAATGACGCAGCGATATCGGCAAATTACGCAAACAGAGGTTGTTTTCGCCAAAATAGGAACAATGGAATGTATTGGCACATCGACCGCAGTCGATAGGAATAAACAGGAAAGCAGGAGACCTTTGGACACACACACACACAGTCTTTCTTAAATTCCAGTATTTTACTTAAGTCGAGCATTTCTCTTGTGACCCCTTTAACATAACATATAGTCATGGGTAACAATGTTAATATGACAATTTAAATATATTGAGGCTAACATGATATGTGATCCATCATTAACAGCAACTGTGGCACTGGTTATATTGTTGTGGTTTTTGTTATCTAAATGCACCACTAACAAAAGCTTTTCAGAAAAAAAGGCCCTTGAAGGTGACACAATTAAAGGAGCTCCAGTCACATCTCAAACAAACAAGACTATGTGAAAAACATAATGGAACGAAAAGCATCGGAGGGGTGATGCCTACCTGTGTGCTCACATCATTTATAGGCTGCTGTAGCCTATATACATGCTCAGTTTGTCCCTCCACAGTTTCATAATGATTTGTAATTCGTTTAGAAAACATAAACAATATCTAACTTAGTGTTTTGCACTGTTACATCATTGGAGAGCTGTGTGCAGCGCCCCACAGTGACTCTCTCGCTCTTTCTTTCTCTCTCGATTGGCAGCACAGAGAGAAATCCCACCCCTGGCAGAGGCCCATTAAAACATTCATGAAGATTTACCATCCTCAGCAGGTGGGCAGAATTCAGCACAAACTCAGCAGGTATGCTTTGGCTGTGCATGTTCACACAACAAGCAGACAGATGTCGGCCTAACACCAGCCTTGCTCTGTGAGAACATTGTGTCTCTTCCCTTCCTGCACCTCCATGACTGATCAGCTCCAAAAGTTAATCATCTGGAGACACCATCGCAATATTCCCCAAACGTTCCCTAAATGTGTTATTTTGTCAAAATAATCACACACACACACCAATGGAAATGATATCCTGCTTATAGGTTAATATAACATTTATATCCGTTTCATGTTTTCAATTCCTCATTGCAGAACAGACGTGAGGTTTTGTGTCTTCAGTGCCATGAATGCTTCAGTGACATTTAAGCGAGTTGGATGCATTAAATCCACACCAAGCAGGAAAGAAGATGTGTTTTTTTAGCTTTAACTCTGGTCTGGTTCATGTTCATGTTAAATTTTTACGAATGAACCAAAGGAGTAGACAAGAAGTCAAACAGATGGACAGCTGACTCGCTGAATGGACAGCCTAGTGAAGTTATCCTGCATCATCAGGACCCATGTGGATAAAATAAATTCCACTGACAGACAGTCGGTCATGCAATACTTCGATGCATCTTAGGTGTATAAACATGTTCCCTTGAGGCACATGGAGCTCACAAAGACATACAGTAACTCATCATGAGCAGTATTGACAAACAGGAACGTTCTGGGGTTATTACAGTGGGATTGTTTTGTCTTTTTAAGCGACTAGCTTTTTAAGCTACTGGATGTAGCAGTTGATTTTGCGAAAATCCTTGCGTCCACACGCTGACGAGCATGTGTGCTACCATAGTTACCAAATTATTATAAGATTGCTTCCAGAACAGTAGAAGCTTAGGTTTTTAATTGATGCTAGAATCCCACATCTCCTGTCACCAAATACTGCGGCTTGTAAATTTTCTTTTTAAGCCAAGAACCAGAACTGTCTCCTCGCCATCATAATCTCTCCTTTGTTTTGAGTTATGGGATTGACAATGGTCAGAAAAGTGTTTTGCAAAACAGTATTATCTCACAGCGAAGTTGACATTGAACCCCAAACTTACGCCTTCTCATAGAGACAGTGCTGCACATAGATGCATAAATGTGTGTGTGAAGGGGGAAATGGTACAAACTGCGCATAAAAATACAGACCATTTACCATTTGCTGTGACGGACAAATTGTAAACATGGTGTTTCCAGCCGCAAGCACAGATGCACTAGAGTCTGCATGGAAGCAGACAGAGACCTCAAGCAGTCTCAGCCTCAGTGTTCTGTTAGTCTGGCAGCTTTTTCACCAGTTTAAATGGATTGCACTGACAACCTCAGGTGAGTAATATGTGCACATTGCTTTCATTTCTTGAGCGTCCACACAGCTTTTTTATGCAAATATTATAGATGCACATAAAAACATATGGTTGCAAACTAAATCTCAGCACCCAGCTAATATCACACAATCTATCATATATCAGATTTTTGGAAAGACAAGTTCACAGAAATGCAGACGACTGTCTGTGTATGCACGGCATGAAACTAACCCATGCACTACACAGATGGAAATAGAATAGTTTATATCTATAACAGCTATTTCAAATGCTGACCTGCAGCTTAGTCTTTCATCCTTCACTGATAGTTATAGAGCTCTTAAGGGCCCCTTGTCTCTGCTGACCACAGAACAGTTTGATTTCTGCTTGCAGCAAAATCCTTGCTTCGGGCTGACTGTGCTCTCTTTCTTTGAGTTGCCCTTGTGTTAAAGTAAACTTCAAACATGCCAGCAGCATAAACAGCCGCACAAATGTTATTTCAAAACACCTATTTGTTGACAACATTTCTAATGATTAAAAAATATATAACTGCCTACAGTACAAACACACTGATCCTGGTCGTGACCAACAAGAGGATGTTTCAAGTACAGCAAAGATTTGTTTCCAACTAACGACATAACTCCTATCACCTAGATTTTAGGCTAAATTGATTTCAATAATTAATGTTGAGATAGCTGCTCTGTATCACACAGTAACCTATTCTGATATTAACAGAAGAATAAGCATGTTTAAAAAAGACGGAGGTGGAAAACTGAACTCAAGATGCAACTCACCATCATCCTTCACCAGAACCTCCTTCTGGCACATGTCCTGCACGTTCACGGTGCAGTTGACGATGAATTCTGGGGTGGAGCAGTCGTGTGTCATCTCCTCACATTGGTAGCACTGAATCTGCAGAGCCAGCCCTGCAAACACATTTTTGAATCTCTACATTAATAAACTGGTTATATTGCTTCCACCACCAATCGACCTTTTTTTATGTACACGCTATTTATTTTCTCTAGTATCATAAATGTAAATGCAAAATTGGTTTTAATTGCGGTGACTCTTTTCTTCTCTGACCATTTGAAACTGATGCCAACTATTAAGCAGTGTTCGAGTGGCTAGTGACCCATGTATCATACCAGCATGTATTTGCGGCTTTTCATCATGTCTCCCCTTGATAATAATAAATATGTTAATATTTAATTATGATCCCTATAAAACTGACTTGTTAATAACTTATTATTATCTTAGGAACAAATGCAATCAGATACATAAACAGGTTACAAGAGAGCCACTGCGTTTCAGGAAGAACTTCACTGACAACTAGAGTGCAGATTACAATTTATATCCAAAAGATATGAGCAGCTTAAAAAAGAAAGACAACATTGAGTTCCACCTCCACCAACCAGCTACATTACAAAGCTACTTTACATTAATGTACGAATAATAATAATAATAATTATAACAACAAGAATAGCAATAACTGTTGCATAAGTTGTATTTTTTAATATCAATTTTTTTTTTTTTTTTAAATGTGTATGAAGATCTTATTTGAAAACGCACCATGATATTAGACTGAGAAGAAGTATTATTTATGTGGAGGCGTCATACTTGAATGAGCAGCCAAGCTGAGCTCCAATCTCACCTGGTTTGCTGTAGCCAGACGCGCGGGAGCGCAGTGCCAGCTGAATTTCGGAGACTAAAGTCTCTTAGTTAAAAATGTATATAAGGAGTGTGGTGGTGGGACCCGCTATTCAAATCAATATCCGCCCAAAAAATTCATTCCCCATCATCATAACGACGAGCCCAAATCAGAATAGGCTACAGAACAGAAAGAAGGATACAGGTAGATTAGCGCGCATTATCCAAACTGTGCGCGCTGCGTTTCCCAATTTACCATGGATCAAAATTGAACACCTCCCTTTCTCAAGTCCCTGCGCCCCATCTCCAGGAATAAGCTGCTCTGGAAGTTTGGCTTTAAGTAGACAACCTAAAGAAACGCTTGAAACCCAGTGAAGAGATGAGGAAGAGGAGCCGTGGCACCGTACCTGAGCCGGAGAAGAACAGGAGCAAAGTTGAAACGGTGATAAGCCGCATCGTGCGCTGAGAGAAACTCTGAGTACAACCATGAGAGACGATGTTCAGCAGCTCTGAGGCGCAGGGACGGAGCATCTGGCAGCCGGGCTCTGAGAGCCTGACACCTCCTGCGACGCAACACACGTCTTATCCACCGCTGTGCACGCACACACGAGTGCTCACACATGCACGTGCATGTGCACCACAAGTGTGACTGTGATGCTGAAGTATGTTCAGCCGTTATTATTACTATTAGGGTGATTACATGTTATTTATATGCATGTGTTGCTGCAATGACCTCCAAAGTCCAACATATTTTTAATATTGTCAACCCACATCACACATCACAACACTAATTACCTAAAATGTAATTTAAATGACTCTTACCTAATTGAAAGTTTTATCAAAGTATGTTTAAATATTGAAATATTCCTTTACCCAGTGAATGGAGTCTAGCACACTGTGACATTCCTAAAATGTGACATTACAGTTACATATGGCATATACAGTGTGATGTCATTTGGATTAGGTTGTACACTGTGACATCACTGTTGGATGAAGCTGTACACTGTGACATCACTGTTGGAT